AAGGGAATGATGAGAAAATAACAGCTTTCGTTTCCATACAGCTGCTATTCCAAAGCATTATCAGGCCTTATTTTTTTTATAGGCAACTAATAGGCCCACTTTCTCCAGGCACCAGCCATTTCTGAATTGGAGCACAGCAGCTGCTGAACACTTGACAGCAGTGCCATACAGTCCACAGGGCCCACTGACAAAAACATTTCCTCTGAGATAGCTGCATTTCAGCTTTGGATGAAGGTAAACAAGAACAGATAAATATTATTTTCAGTCTTTGATGCCTTGATCGTGAGCATATGGCAACAAAGTCTGCACTGCAATCTATGCAGACAGAAAATTAAGACAACTGAAAGGAAGAATGATCTCTGTATCACGAATGCGATACTAAGGAACAGAAGGTCGCCTATAAAGAATAGTCTAAGCCTACATCCAGATTATGTAAGGTCCAGGATAATCAGATGATTAACATTTTTCTTCTCTCAGTCCTCCACAGTAGCATAACTTATGTCTGAACGCTTCATTTTCATACATTTGAAGCGTGACATGTACATGACTTAGTACACCACTTGAAGAACTCTTCCCCAAATGGTCTTGAGAACTGACATTGCAGTGGCTGTCTACTAATTGCCCAGAGAATAGCTGGATCTGATCATAAAGGGGAAGCTCTTAGGTACACAAATTATTCCTAATATTTCTGCATTTGAAATGGAATTCATGAATGCCAGGTATTTCAGAGAGAGCACTATTCTCACACTGTCTACAGAGAAAGCATACAAAGCCAGGTTACCCTCCTGGCCCCTCACGGAATGCAGACAGGAAACAGCATTTGCAGTAGCATTCAATTACACACACACAAGCAGCAGGACACCCTGCGTGCACAGCACAAAAATCTCTTGGTACTGCCCTTCATATCACAACCTGGAAACCTTCCCAGTCATTCAAGAAAAGTTTGGTGCTGCATGGAACAGTTTGCCATGAAATCCAGGCCCATAAGCACACCACAGATTTCTCTCCATTCTCAAGCTTCCACATAGCTCCTGATCTTGCTCTTCATTCTCCAAAACAGTTGCTGCTTGGAGGCCAGATGACCTGAAGGAGTCACAAATCAAGCAATGACAGCAGGATCCATGTGCAGATGCACACACAGACACACTCTCCTGATGCTGGCAGGGCTGCAGACAGTGTAGGATTCAAGAACTAACAGTCCATTGTAATGCACGGCTCAGTTTACACTTCCCAAAGCCTGTCTCCAGTTGTGTGCAGATGAGGTATTACTAATAAGGACGTGTCTGCCAGAGCCACCTGAACAGCTCTTTCCTCACACCCATGAGTACTATAATAAAACAATAGCTAAAAGTCTGTGACTCCAGGAGCCAGGAAGGTAGCAGAGCACTAAAGGCCTACTTAGCTCTCACTCAAAAGACACCTCTCCTGGCAAATTATGACAGAAAAGCTTAAAAGCCATGTTTATAACATTTTAAGAGCATGATTAAACTTTGATTCCTGTTTTAAATTACACCTAGGACCAAAAGAAGTCAGTAACAGATATTCAGATCCAGAAGTCAGTCTGGATATTTACTGCTTCCTTTTGAATGACTACAAAGCTCTAGAGGAGATGTTGCCATTTTTCTGTCTATTAAAGTGTCATGACAATAGATGCTACTGATGATAGGGGTTTAGCCTAACTGCTAGAGAGAAACTGTCAGTTCACGGAGAAAACAGATAATTGTAGTTGAGGAGTTTAGTGAAATAACAATTATCACTTAATAAATTTCTTTTAGATCAAGGGAAACATATTCAAGTTTTCAGTACTCTGCTAGTAATAGAAAGTAAAAATTACCACAAAGAAGTCAGGAAAAGCAAACAACTAACCAAAAGACTATATGATTATTTCTATGCAGCCTGCAATAAATGCACTGTTAAAAAAGTCAGTTAAAAGTCCAGCCAGGATACTGCCCAAGACAGGGATCAAAGGCTTCCAAGAATCTCTTATTTTCCCCAAGCTCTCATCCAGAAAAACCAAAATGATCAGCTCAAGAATTTTTAAACAAAAGTTCAAAGTATTGCCTTTCCTGATGCTATTATTAGGACACAATGGCAGCTGTTTCTGAATACTCAATGTCCCATGCAGGAATCATACCTTTTTCTGGAATGATGTCTATCTGTTGAGGAAAAAAAAAGGCTGCAGAGAATGAGAAGGCAACCCTCACTCACATGCAATCAAGGAATTGATTGTAAATCACTTATCAGACCCTAAGGCAAGAGCCAGGAAAATGCTAGGTGGGTACAAAAAAAAAAAGATATTTAAATTCATACAGTTTTGCTTCTGGAAAAATGAAAGGAAGACAGCAGGCAGCATGCAGGAGGTTATCAGGGGAGTGCTAGAGCTGTTGCTACTATGTGGTACCCATCTATAGAACAGGAATTGAGAGATACCATTTCATATCATATTCCAGTTTTCTCATGTTAATAGAGACACAATGAAGCAGAAAAGACTGAGCTGCTCAAGTCGGGTCAGATCGTAAACCTTCATCTGCTGATACAGAAACACCTCCCCCCCATTTTACAATATATCTGTAGTTAATTTCTGTTATTGGCTGACTGGTTGCCTCATTACGGAAAAAGATCACAGTTTGCTTGTCAGCACGGCAACACCTGTATCTGCAAACTCAAAATCTCTCAGTGATATTCTCAGATATTGTCAACATCTGTTTTAGTAAGCTCTTAAAGCATTTTCAGACATGGCTTTGGCCTCTTCTCCTTGGAGAGCCCCAGGCCTATTATGGCAGCTGGAGCATTTAAGGGACTGCTCTCAGCATGCAGCTTGAATGCAGCTACCATCTTGTGAAATTTAAAATAGCAGAGTGCTGACAGCTCCCATCTCAGCACCCAGATGTTTCATTTATTTTTACAGAATCATTCAACAATTTTTAATTCCTTGTGAGTTTAATCGCATCTCTGAAGAAAAGAGTTTTTTGGAGGTACATGACTCAAAATACGTGGTGTACTCTCCCAGTTCTTCAAGTGTGATAGTGAAAGTGTTGAACCATTCATAAATTTATTTTCTTTAAGGTTTTGTGCCCAAGATTTTACTTGCATTAATGTCATTTTACTATCCATAGTGATGTTATTGTGTTTTGAATTGGCATAAAAGTAAGAAAAATTCCACATTACTTAAATAAAATAGCAGTAATGAAAAACCTCATTACTAAAATTGTTAAAATGAAATATTAGATAGTCTCTCCTGCTAAAAAAAGTACAATTGTTTTATAAACCCACAGCTCAACGTGGCTTCAGCTCCATCTGCAAATCTTTTATGGATAGTTACCTTATGGATATGCTGCTTTGGAATTCCACGCAGTGTGCAGTAATAATAAAGATGCTCCCAACCCGTTAGAAGTTCATCCAGGGCATCTTGCTGTGGACAATAGCCAATGAGAATGCCCTCAGAGCTAGCAGACAGTATATCCATTTCAGACCTGTTTAAAGAAATAGACTTGAATGTTGCTTGAAAAAAGCCATGGCCCTGGCTTTCACCCTTGGGATACAAGACAAACACATAGGCTCAAGTCCATACGTAAATGAGTTTGAGTCTCTTCACCCTTCGGCATGACTACTTCCTGCAGTACCACCCACAGGCAAGGGGCCTGCTTTTTGTCCTTTTTGGGATAGGACAGCCACCTCTTCAGAGTCATCACTGTAACAGTGTGCATGTGTGTGCGTGTGTGCGTGCGTGTGTGTGCGTCTAGGTCAAGAGATCAACACAGAAGGAAGACAGCTCTATAACAATTAATCCTCACCAGGTTTACCTCCCTTATCTCTTTGGTAGAATCTTCTCTAAGGAGATATATTTCAAACCACATTGTGTTCCTGTTTGATACTATATCATATTCAATATTATATTCATACTGATTACATTCAGTACTGAAGGGGCAGGACTTGAAAGAGAGGGAAATGTTGCTGTGTATTCTTTGTGTGTCTGTGCCCACATGTACACATGCATGCATTCTCTAAACTACAAGACTAAAACAAAACACAGGATATTAAGGCCTAGTAGCTTAAAAGATAATATAGGAGAAAGTATAAAATTATCCTGATTTAAGAGACTTTGGACTTCACTTTGTAGCTCTACAGCATTACTTGAAATTACATTCATTGCAAAGAAGCAAGCTTGATTGCAAGGGTGTCTCATTACCCATAATGACACTAAATCTATCCTATTTATTCCAACATCTAATTTAACACTCAATGATGTTGATTTACATGTACAGAAAAACCTGTCAAGATGAAGATACTTAACAATAAAAAAATCTGAGCTTTGAAAGAAAAAAGTTTTCAAAAGGTTCTGAGTAACAGATTGTTTTTCCCCTTAGTAGTTTTCTACATAATCTGATTAAGAGAACTAAATATATGATTAATCAGTTAAACACAAAGCAAATGTATTAACTGCAGGATATACAAATACCAGCACTAGTGAAAATATAAATATGTATCTCCCGTTAACAAGATTCAGAAGTCTGGAGAGAAAAAGAAAACACAAATTCTGCATTTTACATAAGGAACCTCAGCATCAAACTATATTTTAATGCTATTAAAAGATAAATTAACATGATTATGACAAGCCTTGCTGTGGACTAATTAGAATGGTCCTTTGCTTTTAATGGCAAAGATAAAAAATCTTAGTATCTTTGTTGGTGTGGATGGTCCAAGGACTGTAAGTGCTTGTAGAGACCTCTCTAAACAAGGAGTTAGCAAAAAATAGAAGGATGATAGGGAAAAGAGGAAACCAGAAGTGTACTTCCTTATTAATTTATATCCATAATATAACATATTATATAGATATTATATATTATATATAATATTATATTATAATATAAAATAATATAGCTGTAATATAAAAATAACTTATAGGTTATTTTGAATGAAGTATATATAGAATTTTTACTGGCTCAGTTTTCAGCCATACCTAAATCAAATTAAATCATTTTTCTAAGGTAATCTTTACATAAGATATGGATTGATTAATGGCAATCTATTTGCATAGCCAGTCAGAAGCAGTAGATTCCTTATTTAATGGACTCTAAGATAGTGAAAACTATCCACAGTGAAATGTTATCTAGATGCTGTGTCTGAGGTTTGTTTTACTAGGAAGATTCATGCATACTCACAAGGTTTTCTTTTGGTACAGCTGCTGTCTTTTGAGAAACAAGAGGCTGGGCTTTTGGTAATATGCCAAGTTCAGCCACAAGAGAACAAATCGCACTCAGAGATAATTTCAGGGACATTTACTTAGCATGAACCCTGTAGCTGGAAAGACACATCTAGTCTGATGTGGGTCCCTACCATGAAGAACAAAAAGTTAAGTATGGACAGCTGCAAAAAAAGCCAGACATCTAATGTTCTTTAGTTAGAACTGTATTAGACCATATTTACTCAGTTTGCATTCGGAAATAAAAATAGTGTCCCCAGTGGTAATTGTACATACATGATTTTAGTGTTGTGCCTCCATAAAGCACCCAGTCTTCGGTGAACAATATCCCACCCGCTGACCATTAGCTTTCATAAAGGAAGGGCACAGTGAGAATACATCATTTAATATTTTTACTCTGTTTGGTCCTTGTCTTGCAAATTTATCCGTTAGTGCTGACCTTGAACTCTTAAAGTTTCCATTAACACAGAGATTCTAGTGTGTTCACTAAAGAACTCAAGGACCTTTCCATCCCCGTCCCCCCCCATATCTGCATCTGTCGATCTGACCAGAAGGAAAAAAAAGGTCTCTTATTCAGAGGTTTTTTTGAATGTACACTATAATGCCTATTTTTCCCCAAGCAATATCACTGAGTAGATTTCCTAGTTAAAATGCTGGACACCATCCTTCAATTTTGTTTAGTCAGGTTTCTGAATACACAAATAATATATATATATATATATATATAAAAATAATAGAGGAAGGAAAAACACATGATATATTTTAATATAATTAATGATGGCATGATACCAGAAAACCTTTTGAGTAAATGATATATTGTAAATGCTTTTCCCTTTTCTTTTTTTTTTTTAATTTCTGATTCCATTCATTAACGTAATTATAATCCTTTTATTCCTTGACATTTTCATATATGCTGTTATAAAAATCAAATTAGAAATACAATTTTAATATTTTCTGAAATGTAGATTAGCATGCAGCAAAATTATGATTTTGTTTTCTCAAGCTAGAGAAAAACACCTGTTTGTTTTTTGTCCTTTTGTTATCAGCATGCCAGCATTTCTCATTAGGCTATTCACATTAAAATCAAAACATGCAGGAAGAAAAAATCAGCTCATTTTATAAATAGAGAGAAAGAACATATAAGTACAGATTCCAACCCCTCTCAGGCTTTTTGTCCATACCATAGTAGACACAATGAATTTCAGTGTAATATCTAAAAACTATAGGCAGGAAATCAGTCTTTTACACTAATAGAGAACTCTCTGTATCATTATAAAACACTACATAATTGTTATTTTAAATTCAGTTAGTAACTTTGGTTACATCTCTTGATCAAGATATGACATAAAACTAACATGGAACACAAGTTTCTCCTTCATTTTTAGACTACCTTGTTATGTTCAATCAATAGTTTCACTTGCTATTTAATTTTTCCTTTAAGGTGGAACAGCTGCAACAGATGACACAAACAGAACATGTCCAGAAATCTTTATGTTTTAAAGATCATTTTAAAGTTGCAGAATTGCATTTCTAGAACCCCTTTGAAAAAGGTCAACAGAATATCTGGCATCCTCAAGAAAAATAACAGTCTAGCACTTGAAGCATGGAAGATTTTGTATTCCATATCTTTCTAAGTACTTTGGTGAGAATTATGACATTTTGGTGCAAGTTATCCTGGAAAAAAGTCCAGGACTCAAGAAGACTTCCCCCAGTTTGAAGTGCTCATCTTACAGTTTTGTACTATTGATGAAAGAAACATGACAGACTTTCAAGGTACTAGGGATAATAAACTGAAATCTGATTGAATAAAAATTTTGATTCAAAATTGTTCCTCCACTGATCATTTCAAGGCTTTTTACATTAGTCCATTTCTTCCATACAATTAAAGGAATTCCTGCAATCTGATTGCAGCCCTGAAGGTGTGGGGCATTCCAGTCAGGAAGGCTTTGCTGGCACTGAAAAGAAACCACAACACTGGAATGAGAGAGAATGATCTTGGACAAAACCTGTTGCCTTCTGAATAAACTGGACCTCTTGTTTCCAGAAGGCTAGGCTGGTTATTGCAGAGACTAGATTTCCTTCTTGTTTGTTACAGTGGTTACGGGCAACATCATATATAGGTGGTTGTGGACTCTAGTTCAAAGGTAAACTTCAGTTTTGAGTTTCTAGAAACAATTAAGTAACCTTGATATCAGCCTTATGGCTGTTTTTGGAAAACATTGTTTCACTATTGGCTCCACTGTGTACTTTGCTTCACTTTTGCATGCTTTTTCTACAGTTTTTGAATGCAGTTAAAGGCGGTGATATATATGGCACTTACAATGGCTTCTGCAGAGAGATAAATTCCATTAATTAGTCAAAATGAAATATAAATTTACGAATTGCAAAAGTACTTAGACATTACATTGTCCTTTTAACTGCATATTCAATTCAGTGCATACTAATGCTCAATTAACATTATAAAAAATCAAGGTTAAAATATAATTAATGTAACTATAGCTTCATTATAATTAAACTAATTATACTGATATACAGTGTAAAAACAGCCATCTCAGCCATTATATCAATGTAAATTTATTCTGCCTTTCAAGTTAAGCTATTTGAATCACATTTTTAATTATTTATCAAGCTGAACATCATACCTATCAAGAGTCCAAGTTCTAGCTATAAAGAAATATTTTACTTTTCCCTCTTTGGAGAGCCATTCTTTGGTCCTATGACTTTGTAATCCAGCAGCTGAGATGGCTGACAGTTCAAATAGGATGGGGAGTTGCTGTCATGGAGGATCTCTGTGTGGTAGGAAGATGGAAATTCATGGGAGATAAATTAATTACATGAGGAAGACTGCCAGATGCTCCCACTCTCAGTGGGGCAACTTACGAACAAGATGACATCTTGTTTATCCATTTTTTTTCATTTTTTCACATATGCACCCCACTACATTTTAAGTACGAACTTAAAGTCAACCCTATGCAGGAAAGTACAACAGCAAAGACTGCATAATAGAGAGCACCAAAAAGGCAGATAAACTACTGGTCACATTGTTCATTATTTTACATTGACCTTGACGTGGCACTTGAAAGGGTTTTGACAATTTCTCTTCAAAGCTGTGTTTAGTGCTCCTCAATTGAGGGAGGTTTTATGACACTGAAGAAGTGTCATACAAAAGTATAGAAAGGGGAAGAAAACAAAGAATGGCCAGCGTGTACTCACACACACAGAAAAGTGGAACAGATGTACAGAATCTGCTGATACATCAACCCAGCAGACATTCAAAGACTATGAAGACTCACTTTGTTCTCCTTTGTTTTGCTACTTTGTTAAGTGTCAGCTTTTCTTTGTACATATTTAATGCAGACCTTACTTCTTCAAGCTATTTGACAGAAAATGTAACTACAAAAATGTTTACAGTTTTATATGCTACCTTTCATTTAGCCAGCTCCCACATTGGTGGCAATCTAGTTATGACAGAAGAGCTAAGCATAAGCTAATTTGAGTCCACTTGTACTCTTAAAAAGGAACAGCTGTGCTACACAAAACACAAAAAACCCTTCTAAATGTCAAGCAGATCATGCAGTTAACTTTTACACATATCTAAGCTTCACAACTCTTTTGTATGTTGATCAAAAGCCAGTAAGACTCCTAATGCCTTATAACACCAAAATTTGTAGATGCAAGGAAACAAATTTTATTAAAATACTCTCCTTTCTAGTAATTTTCACTTTTGTTTTTAATATTTCTGCCTTTTACAAAAGATACTGCTGGTATTTTGCTATCAGTACTTTATTTCCACATCTTCTAAAGTAACTGTTTCAATGCTGCTTGTTCCTTTGGAACTCTTTAATATTGAGGTTGCAAATATCCCTAATGTGGAGACACACTCGTGAGATGTTAATTATTTTTATGTTTCATTTGCACTGAAAATGGCAATGTTAATGAGGTACACAAAATAATAAAAAAGACAAAATCCCCCGTGAATGGCATTATCTCTACAAGATTGGCTGTGGTTGGTGATAAATTCCTTTTATTTCTCTTACTAGACTATGTTATGAGACTTTGTCTCATAACAGTTGCGGCCAGAATGGGTTTGCAAATGTTGTAAGTTGCCTAAAAACATTCTCACCATTTATCCAGAGGGATATGAAAATTAAAAAAAAACAAAAAAACAAACCAAACAGTTTTTTGATATACTGCTCAGCTTGTATAATATAAATGTTCATTTGCCACATAAATAATGAAATACAAAATTTAGACACATAGTGCATTTAAAATGTCTATTTTATTTGTAATGTATCAGAAAGAGAAAATCATGATGAAAGCAGATCAGAAGGCTTCCCTTCCGCAAAAGCCTGTCCCCATCAAGAAGAATGCCAGGAAACACTGATTTGCAGAAAAGATGAAGCTGGCTCTAGTATTTAATAAACATTCCCACTTAATAACACCCTGTCTTATGAACCTAGTGATACTGAAAACTGTTACAAAACTTCTAGCTTTTATGTATTTTACTAAGCTTTTTTATGAAAACAGAGACAGTTTTCTCGCAGATTCTAGGAAAATGCTCCTTGGGTTATTTTAGTGGTATTAAACAACCAGCAAACAACCAACCTAGAGGTCAATAAATCTTTTAAAAGTACTTGCAGATGTTGTGAATCTGCTCTTAAAAGACAGTTGCTTCTAAAAAGTATATTTTTTCAATTTTCTTTGAGAAACTAGCAGGACTTCTCAACTCAAATTGATTTTCAGTGTGGAAGGCTCTTTCTATGTAATCCCATGCACTTCCAAAGTTTTAGGCTGACCTTCCAAAAATTCTACTTTGCATTCAACATGTACCTTTGACTAAGCTCATCCTCCATTTCTAGTCATCATATTGTTCAAAGGAGTAATAGCTGTTAAATAAAATTCAAGGCTGTTTTCAGTGCACCTGCCTCAAAAAGAGGTGCACTGACCTAATTTAAAATTCAGTTAAGTGTTTACAACAGCAATCAGGAAAATGTACATATGGGTTTGTTTGGGTTTTCTGTTTATATGTTGGTTGGTTGGTTGGTTTTTAAATGAGGAACTTTCAAGCATAGTTATTCAAGGAAATGGGAACTGTTATGAATCAAGGATTTTCTACATGGATTTAAATCAGTCAAGTCTCCAATATTTATAATAATAATTTTGCATACTCATTACTTATTTGATCATGAAGAATGTATCATGAAGGTAGGTTTAGTTTAGATAGGAAGAAATTCTTTACTGTGAGGGTGGTGAGGTACTTAAACAGGTTGTCCAGAAAAGTTGTGGAGCCCCATCCCTGTAAGTGTTTAAGGTCAGGTTGGATAGGGCTTTGATTAAGCTGGTCTAGTGGAAGGTGTCCCTGCCCATGGCAAGGGGTTTGGAACTAGATGATCTTTAAGGTGCCTTCCAACCCAAACCATTCTATGATTCTTGGAAGGATCCATTAGATTACAGTATCTGATCCTCTCAGGATCACACAGGACAAAAGTTGTGTTCTTTCCATTCAAACCCAAAAGAGTGGGGATCTAGATCTAAGCTGCTGCCCAATTATTCATCAGAAATACCCGTCAGAGGTAATGTCTTTATGGAAACTCCTTAATGATGTAAATTTTAAACTAAGAAGTCCAGATCTGCTGACCAGCAAATTTTCTGTAGCTGTGACCAACAACTGCTTTCTTCAGCTCACTGTCCTCTCTGCTCTGTGCCAAGAACATCAGACTTTTGAGTACACTAGAAGAGTAAGAAAAGGAGAAGACTTCTTACTGTAATATTCCCCTTCTTTCATTTATCTGAGGCCTAAATGCGAATAGTCCACCTAAAAGTCCCTGGGATGAGTAGCTTCATTCATTCTTCAACTGCTGAAGAAGGGTACTCCAGACCTTGTGGTTACCATCTCAGCTATGGGAGAGCCAACAAACTTGTCCACTAGTGAATTTCAGTTGTACAGCAACACAGTGACCATGATCTGTTCAACAGCACTTAACAAAATATGCAGCAAGGAACAAAGTCAGGAGTGACATAAATTTCTTCTCATAGCCTCAAAGTTGTTTGTTTCCTATAGTTTAGCTACTGTGTAACAACAGCTCTTGCTCTTGCCTTTTTGAGTTAGTGCTAAATTTTGAAAACTTGGGAATATGGGTTTTACACTCACTTCAGCCACTTCAAACACACAAAAAAAAAATCCATAAACTTGATTGACACCACCATAATACAGAGTCATAATTAATGTTGTCAAGTATATTTTGTACACTGAAATGCAACTGTCTAAGGCTTTCTCTCAGGCCTTCTAAATGTGTCAAATTCCATTACCTATATTTTAATATATGGTAAATAACATTGTATCTTAATATATGATTTCATGTTGGATTTATAAAAACAGTATGGAAAAATGAAACTGGCACACATAATGTCCAGGGAGAGTGTTTAACCTATTGTCAAGTGCCAGTAGCACATTAAAGTTGACCTGAGAAGAATTTTTATCTGTTTAGCCACAGGTAAATAACAAGACTGATAAGAGGAATACAAGCATTGTTAAATTGTTTTGTAAGGTTTTTTTTTTTTTAAATAATCTTACAGGTTCTAACAAAATAAATTATGCAAACAGTCAGCAGCGTAAGTGCCAATATATGTGATGATGAATTATATTCTTATAACTTTATACCTGCTTTCAAGTGGATGTTAAAATTTTAGAATTGTCACACCAGATCACATCATTTGCCCAAATACAGACCTGGTACCATGTTGTACAGAAAAAGCCATATGCAATTCATAAATGCACATGTGGGACCAACCACAAATCCCATTAAAATCTACAGTAAAATACCTCTCAAAATCTAAACAAAACCTGGGAGCTTAAATACTGCATGATGGTAACATTTTATAAAAAGAAATTATTACAGATTATTTTATTTTTCTAAATCTCAAATCCTCCTCAGACCTCCATCATATCCCAGTATAAAGCCTTCCACCAGTGCCAAAGAACATAAAATATTGATTTTTATCTAATTTTTAATCACTTTTGTTATAGCTGTTGTTGCTTCATGTCTGAAAAGTTCTGTCTTCTGTTCTGGGAAATTATGAATGAAAACAACTATCTAAAATTCTCTCTAATCCTTGTAAAGGTTCACTCACATAATTTCTTATTCTAAGAATAATTTTCCTAAAATCCCTTTTTTTTTTTAAATCATTCCTGCTTTATGATTAACAATTTTTTGATGATTTGTTGTAAAAGATCATGACAAAACACAGTGAAGTAAAATTATGTTTGGTAGTGGTGATGCTGTCCATTTCAAAATAAGTGTAAAACTTTCATAAAATGGAAGTTTGCAATGACTGAAACTATTTACTCTTTGAAGTTAAATCTGCAGATCATTATTTTTGTAGAGAAGTGAGAAAATACTGACCTATGAAAACACTGAATTTCTAAACAAAAGTAACTTGTCATTTTAGAAATTGAAAAATTCTTCTTTTAAAAATTTCTTAATTAAACCCTTGACCTCTCCTTGTCCAAAAACATATTTTGAAATGTACATCATCTAGGAAAAGAGAAGTTTTAAAACTGAACTAGCCCAAAATACATTTTTATATATACATATACATTTTACTACTGACCAAAAAAATAACTTTACTTCCCTTCCAATTTTGTTGGGAAAAATGATAAATATTGGTTACATCTAACCCAAAGTCCATTATTCATTTATCACTCCATCGAAGTTAGCCTCAATCTCACCAACACTGCTTCTTATCCTAATTACACAGCATATTGATCAAGTAATTAATTACAGTCTCTGAAGTGCATAAGTGTAAGAAAACATTTTAAAAGTACCCACTTGAAGCACTGCTCGTCAGACTAAGCCTGGAAACCTTTCGGGGCAGCACTACTATGGGGAATATATGTCCATGCATCTGAATATACTGTATGTTAAGATTTTTTTTTTTTACAGTTTTAAAAGGATGTGTGTTAAGGCTTCTTAGAGTCTACTCTTTTGCTACCATGCAAGTTTGTTCTCAATTAACAGAGCATTCAAACAGAATTAAATAATGCTAAAATGCTTTTCTGCAGAGACTTAACAAAGCAATAGACATTTAAAAGGGAACAAAACAAGTCCTTAGAGTACAGTATAAAGGACTAAAGATGTACTGAGTCTTTAATCATTGGCATTATCAATTAGCACTATTCTGATCAAACTCTTGTTATTTACCCAGTAGGAGTCCGAATAACAGCACGTCCTGCAGATGGGATGATATCTCCAGTCAGCATCTTAAATGTTGTGCTTTTTCCAGCTCCATTTGTTCCCAGGAGTCCAAAACACTATCAGAGAGAAAAAAATAGGAAAAAAAACCAACAAAACAAACCCAACAAAAACAAGGAGCAGGAGCAATTAATCTGCTATGCTGAAAAAAGTAAGTAATATTAATTCTTCAACAGTTTCCCCTTTTCTCAGTTCATATCNCTGCACATGGATATAGCATATGTGTAAACTCCCTTTCCCTCAGAAAATCAGTTTAAAAAAACCCCATATATATAATATTTTGATTACCCCCTAATATCTAAAAGTGACTTATTTAGGATTATAGCCCTCCACTTAAAACCCTGCCCAGTAACTAAATGCATTATTTATCCATATTATTTGTAAATACTACATTTGTACCTGAGGATCTCGAGTCCTATTTGAGAGCCCTGATCACCAGTCCATAGAGTTAATAATTCTCAGCTTCTCATGAGGTGCTTCACTCAGTACAAGTAAATAAATACAAGACAGCCAAGAGACACACTCTGAACGCTTATTTAAGGCCCCTATCTGCAACGAATTTATGCTGGTTAGCTCAGTTACCCAACAGCTGATCAATAACTAGTCAGATGTCACTGGACCTGGGCTGCCATACTCTAATTACTCATATCTTCTAATTTGCTATTAGCAACTAAGAAAGGTCTTTTCCTGCTCAGCAGTTTTGAAATTATTATCTGTAATTCCCATAAGCATAAACATAATGGAAAACCCCCCAAAACACAAACTCACATGCTGTTTAATGCTAAATTTGAGATTATTAAAATAGTATATTAGCATGTTGTATGCTATATTAAAATATAGCGTGATGATTTCAGCATGGAAACTAAAAGTGTTCCTTGGTGACAAATTTAGGATTCAGTCCACAGTTTACAACTGAATTAGATATTCTTTGCTTTCTCTTTGAACACTGGGGTGTTGTGCTACCTACTCATTTTTTGTGTTAGCTGATAACACAGTAACTTAATAAAGACAAGAAGAAAAAATTAAGACTCGGATGAATTTGTAACCCAAAAAATAAGCAAACAGTTGCTTCTTAAACACCATCAGAGTTTCTACTTTTCTCCAGTAATTGATTTTCAGAAATTACTCCAATTGAAGTTGTTCTGCTGTTATCTACAGATCTTTCACAGTAGACACACTGAGGATGTTCAAACAATTGCTCAGAATGAAGTGTTACTTTATACAAGGGAACAAAAAGACCTCTTTACCTCTCCCTTTGGTATTCCCAAGCTTATGTTTTCCACAGCTGTGTTCTTTTTACTGAAACCTCCATAACATTTCCTGAGGTTGTACAGAAGTAGCACATCATTGCCAGTTCTTCCACCAAAGAGTCGCTGTCGCTCCATTTCTACATCAACATCTTCTGATGGGCTGACCATCTTGTTAATTGAACAATGACCCCTAAAACAGATGATAATAAATCACATATAGAAAATTGGTCACTGCTGCACTCTGAATAACTCTTAGTTCCCCGGTTACAATCCCTTAGAGCTTTGTGATTAATTCTCATCAGAATTTGAGCAAAACAACAACTATTATAAGTATTTTTTTGTAGTTTCCATTAATTTAGGTACACCATGTTATCAAAATTATTCACCTTCAGGTGTTCAAAGGAACCCACCATTTTCTTTCTGTAAAAATCAGTTCCATCTCCACTACAGCAGAATAATAATGGTAACACACCTTTGCTTCTGGAGGAGATCCCAATGAAGGAAAAGACGTAAAAGAAGTAGCAGTGTTCCCTGAAGAGCCATTTCCACAAAAATCCAGCCCAGGAAATCCATCTCAAATGGGCTCACATATGAATCTATTCCAAAGTTACTGGTGAGGTCAAACTTGATCTGATTGTACGAAAGCTCTATTAAGCCTTGGCCTAAGCAGAATTGTGGGAATATGATGAATGCCCATTTGAGGATATTGTAGATGTTCTGAAAACTCTGTATTAAGATGCAGCAAGGATGGGTGGAGAGAAAACAAACAAAAAAAAAAAAAAAAAAAAAAAAAAAAAAAAACAAAAACAAAAACAAAAAACAAAAACAAAAAAAAGAAAATCAACCAAAAAACCCAGAAATTTAGTTTTTTCCAACAGCACGATAAGCACACTTGCAAAGCTGGATACAGCATTCAAATCTCAATCTCACTCAAGGTGAACTGATTTCTAAAATGCATACTGTGAACCATCATCTGGGCAGGGTTCATATCTTATTGTATTTAGACCGCCTGGGGATATGGGTTTCTAAACTTAGTTGAGGTTCACAGACAGTATCAAAACATGTGGCCATGATCATTCTATTTTCTTAAAATTTTAGTATTTGAATTCTATCAAATATAAATCACCAACTTAAACCCAAATGAACAACAAATCTGCTGACAAACTTGAGTGACACATAATCCAGATCTGACTTCAAACATCAAGTTTTTGACCTGTACATGCATGAAGATTCATACACATTTGGGTTCTCCTCTCCATCAAGTTGTTTAAATACCATTACAACTAATGAAAATTTACATATATGGAATGAGAATGCATATTACTATTTATACAGGGCATTACTGATCCTAGGAATATGCGGCTTATCTCTTGTGTCAATATTATTCAAACACATTTTACAATGCATATAATCTATTTAATGGACCAGAACAGCTCCCGTTATGTGCCAATTACAACTTAATGGTCTAGAAAATGTCAAAGTTTCAATTAAAAACATTTTCCCATTATTACAGCATGCTTTTTTTGGTTATAGAGAAGTTAAAATTCAAGATGGTAACAAGCAATGCAGTGTATACCAGAAGAGAAAAATCATAAATGTTTTAAAAAAATGTATGTTTTTCTGCTGGAAAAATCTTATCTGTGCATATGTATAAACATACATATATACAAACTCAAAAAAACCCATGTACGTATGTGTGTGCATACATCTCAGTTATGAAGAAGTTAAATCAAGGATTTTATACTGACCTGCACTTTGGAAATTATAGCTAACAGACGAGGTAAGAGAGTCACCAGCGTGGTACACAGGCCAAACACAAAATTTAAGGAGACATAAGAAATAAAAGCTACATCTGAACTTGAGAAGAATCTGGATACAAGATACATCCATGGTAAAGTTGCATATCTGAAAGTTAAAGAAAAAAATTGTAAAAAAATTTATTTTTTTGTCACACCTCCCAAAAAAAATCACACTAGAAAAAATCACACTAGAAAAAATCACAATTTTTACTCCTTATTTTTAAGATACACAAACAAGTCTTCTGAACAATGGATAAAAAAAAAAAAAGGACAAATTTTGGATATATCTTCTTTATCAAACTACCTTATGGTTCCATAGATGTACACTGCCATGTGACGGGCAGATATGATCCATTTTTGCATATATCAACTGCGGATATTTACTTTTACTATTTCAGACAGCTCACAATCCTGATTTCTGAATGACTGCAAACCCATGCATGTTAACATAGAGATAGAATTAAAATCAAATATTTAAATCATGGATCCTGAGCAGTTGGGTTTCCTTAGAAGCTTTCATAAAAAGAAAAAAGAATGAAAGAGGAAGAAGGGAGTGAGCAAAGAAAGAGGGTGGAAAAAAGAAGAAAAAACCAATAATCCTTGAACTGGAACTGTGCCAGTGATATCTGAGAACTGAAGTATCCTACAGACCATGCTATTACCTAAACCAGGTTATCAGTTAATATAGCACAATGGGGATAAGACAGCATGTCCATGGCTACATTACCTTCAATGCAAATCTTTAAACGAGGAGGGAAGACACCCTCTCTATATTTTGACAAGTCAAATCACGCCTATCCAAAAGGAAATATTTATATTTTTTATAAAGAGACTTTTATAAAGACTAAAACAATGCCCAGGCAATCTGATGAGCATGCATGTCATGTAAAGGAGATTTATTTTCCATTTGACATAGCACAAGACATATCTATCAAACCAGCAGTATATAGACTGCAGGAGTATAGGTACCAGTGCATAACATTGCATGATGATAAGTATATATGTAGTGTATATGTAAATACTTCTTATATAATATTAATATAACTGTTTTAATAGTGAGCTCAATGCAAGAGTAACTAGCCAAAAATCTGTGAATGGACTTCTTCATTGTATTAAACAGCATTTTAGATTACAAGCCATGAAAGATCCTTTTGAATTCAGTGCTCTGTACTTTATAGATGAACTTTTTGCATTGGAGAATGTCAAAATTCTTTCCCTTAAGAAACAAACTGGGAAGTAATAATGATGTTATCCTCAGTTTACAGGACAATAAAGGTCAAATTACTCAATGTTTGGATCTCAAATGAATATTGTAAGTATTCAAGGTCACACTATACTTTTCAGAGTCCTGTTGCCAGTCTTAATAACACAATATTTTGTTCACTTCATGCACATACCAAAATCACTGTTCTCAGTGTTGCTGTGAATTACAATATCATAAATACAAGTCCATCCTTGGAAACAACTCAGGAAAGAGACATGATTTAGAGTGCTGTTACTCTGCTGTAAATTAAAGCAAAATTTGATTTGTTTGCTTATAGCTGCTAGGAAATGAGTAAGACTTTCAGAATACTAAAGTTATATAATGTTCAAATGCAGCCTTCAAAGTAGCCGCCAGTCACACCTACATTTCTATCCTCTTTTCCTTCAGCTTCAATTGCAATTTATTATTTTGTAATATCAAAGAGAGAACATTTTGGACAAAAGTGCTTTTGGACTATAAAACACATCTGCTATCATCTATAAGACAAAAAAATTCAGTTTATTTAAGAGATCATTATATTTTTAAAGAAAATCACTGTTAAGGTAGAACACTAGGAAACTTCTGATTACTCTTTCAAGCATAGCCCCTTCTGGCACACCATTTACGTATTTTATATAACAGAGCTATTTTTATCTTTATTCTAGATCAAAAATTCTGCACAAATTTACATTGAAGAGACATTTTAAAAGGGAAAAAATGCATGATGGCATGTAGATGAATGAGAGTTACATGAGCAGTACTGGGGAAGGATAAAATTACCACAATGGGCTTCATCACCTTTACTGTGTCTTTAGGCTAAGTAAAGGGTAGAAGAGGAAGACTGGAAACTGAATTTTATCATTGTCCTTGAGATGTGTTAAACTTACAACTGACAGCTATTGTATTTTTAATTCATGTTAATACACATTGAATACATAGACTTTCTTGTTAAAAATCACTGCAGTATCTGTTATGTCAGCCAAAGCTGATCAGTACAGGAGGGATTATACTGGGCTGATTAAGGAACATCAGCAGTCAACAAAAAAGGACCGTCCAGCTTTTCAGTCAATACTTATTTCTCCTGAAATATCCAAACTTTAACTCAACATTTTGGTTAAAACAATGCCAGCATAACTGGCACTTGGTAGTACACTGTGGGCAGGACCAAAGCCTATATAACAGCACAGAAAACATCATGCTTTCAGTAGATGTACATCTGTATTGTATGTTTCATTTACTGCTTGACTAAGATTTCTATAGATACTTATTCTTCACTAGGGTGACAGCAACTGGATCACGAGAAGAATTCAACAGTTGTAATGATAATAAAAGAAAAAGATGAGATTTAATAGTGTAAATTTTTTGCAATAAGGGTGAGTAGAATTTCTGCCTGTAATTTGAAGGAATCACTTTATCAAAGTGCAGAACAAAGGAAGTGAGAGTGGTACCTGAGAGCGATATAGAGAGGAGAAAAATATGAACCTTAGATGTTTTATACAAGTTATTTACAAGATCATGACCTCTGATCATGACCTCTAGAATATTTCATACTAGTCTCGCCATTCATGCCCAAGAAATGAGCTCAAACTAGAGTTATAAGGAAAAATTATAAATAGAATTATCCAGGGAATTTGGAAGGTCTTTTATGAGAGAGGGCTTGGCTTGTTTGGGCTTGCAAAAGATGTTTGATGAAGGAGAATTATGAAGTATGGCTCTGAATAAACATAGGCTGGAATTCCAAAGAATAGATCCAGTTTTGAGGATACCAAAACGGTTTTCCAAAGAGTGAGTTACTGGAGGCACGAAACCTTGAAAACAATTTTTCAGATGCAATATAGTAAATCAGGATGTTTTTTGAAGTATTTATCTGAGACTCTTCCTGGAATAGAATATGTCATGATCTTGCAGAAGGTCCTTTCTACTATCTTTCCCTATCATTCTCTCATGAACTTGTTATATTTCATTATCTAAACATCTGTCTCGTAAGATTAGCATTTCCCCTATAAGGAAATGTGAAATTAAGCAAGTGGGTAGTACGGTATAACTTTCCAGTCTCACAGTACTATTTGGAGACAGTGCTCCAACCAGCCCAGTACTTCACATAGGACTTCTCATTGGAAATATAAACTCCAGGAGCTATGTTGAATTACAGAAAATGGTTAGAACTGTAATAAAGACAGCCATTTCTTACCTTCTTGATGATATTCTTCAAAGCTAAGCACTGAAATTCTGACCTATGTTATTATTCCTACATTTTCTGGAAGATAATATACAATCAATTTTTAACAGCAAATGACTGTTATAAAGGCCGAGTATTCTCTGAGACATTTCCAGTATGTTTATTTTTTAATGTTTTTTTTTTAACTTGCGAGCAAATCTCCCTCCACTTTTTGAGTTTAACTTTCAAACTCTTGTTTCAGCTTGTTTTCTCACTATATTTTGCTGAATCATAATTATTTCTAAAGACAGAAAACCATGCATCCAGCAGCAGGCACAAACTATGTTTAAAGATTTCTGTTTGTTTCTTAGAAGTTATAATTCCACGGTAGCATTTCCAATCACATACCCAAAGAGTATCAGCAGGAGAACAGTGGCTGCCAAGTTCTTCCGGAAAGTGAAGGCTGATAGCTGGAAGGCACTAATAACACCAATACACAGGGTGACTGGAACCATGTAAAATAGCTAGCAACAGAAGAAAGAAAAGACATTGAGCAGGTGAGCATCTCTTACTGGTTTCACTTAATTTGCATAGAAGGGTTATACAAATCAACTTTTCCATATTTGCAATATAATTACACTATAAATTAGGAAGGAATAGGCAGAAGAGATCGGAGATTTCATAGTCCACACGTGCTGTGAAACTGCTCCCTACACATGAAACAGTCTGACAAGATAAAATCCAACTACAGAATATTCCCCTTAATTCTATTTCTATTGACCTTTCCAGTACATCCATTTAACAAGCTAACTCTTCCACATAATGAGTCCGTGTGGGGCTATTGCTCCAAAACATCAAATTATACTCTGAATACAGAGGTTTGGTTTCAGAAATAGCAGTTTCACTGATTAGTGTTTCAGTCACAGGAGAATAGTAAGGATACAATTTTAAAAGGGACTTTAATCACAGAATCATAGAATCAACTGCATTGGAAAAGACATCTGAGATCATCAAGTCCAACTCTTGATCCAATACTGTCGTGGTTACTAGACCATGACACTCAGTGCCACATCCAGTCGCATCTTAAAAACTCCAGGGAGTTTTAAACTCCACCACCTCCCTGGGCAGCCCATTCCAATGTCTGATTACTCTCTCTGTAAAGAATTTCTTTCTAATATCCAACCTAAACTTCCCCTGGCAGAGCTTAAGACCATCCCCTCTCGTCCTACTGCTGGTTGCCTGGGTGAAGAGACCGACACCCACCCAGCTACAACCTCCTTTCAGGGAGTTGTAGACAGTGATGAGGTCTCCCCTGAGCCTCCTCTTCTCCAGGCTGAACAACCCCAGCTCCCTCAGTGTCTTCTCATAGGACTTGTGCTCGAGTCCCTTCACCAGCCTTGTTGCTCTTCTCTGGACCTGCTCCAGCCCCTCAATATCCTTCCTGAACTGAGGGGTCCAGAACTGGACACAGTACTCAAAGTGTGGCCTCACCAGCGCTGAGTACAGGGGAAGAATCACTTCCCTGGGCCTGTTGGCCACACTGTTCCTGATCCAGGCCAGGATGCCATTGGTCTTCTTGGTCACCTGGGCGCACTGCTAGCTCACATTCTGCTTTCTGTCAATCCAAACTCCCAGGTCCCTTTCTGCCTGGCTGCTCTCCAGCCACTCTGTCTCCAGCCTGTAGCGCTGCAGGGGGTTGTTGTGGCCAAAGTGCAGAACACGGCACTTGGTCTTGTTGAACCTCATCCCGTTGGAATCAGCCCAGCTCTCCAGCCTGTTCAGGTCCCTCTGCAGAGCCTTCCTGCCTTCCAGCAGATTAACACTCCCCCCACCAACTTGGTGTCATCTGCAAATTTGCTAATGGTGGACTCAATCCCCTCATCTAAATCATTGATAAAGATATTAAACAGAACTGGGTCCAACACTGATCCCTGGGGGACATCACTAGTGACCGGCAGCCAACTGGATGCAGCACCGTTCACCACCACTCTCTGGGCCCGGCCCTCCAGCCAGTTCTTAATCCAGCAGAAAGTGCCCCTGTCCAAGCCATGGGCTGCCAGCTTTTTCAGGAGAATGTTATGGGAGGTAGTGTCAAAGGCTTTGCTGAAGTCCAGATAGATGATATCCACAGCCTTCCCCTCATCTACCAGGCAGGTCACTTGGTCATAAAAGGAGATCAGGTTGGTTAGGCAGGACCTGCCCTTCCTAAACCCATGCTGGCTGGGTCTGATCCCTTGTCCATCCTGTAGGTGTTGTGTGATTGCACTTAGGATGAAGGACAATGTGTGCTGATGAAGCAAATGACAACTTTTATTGGGAATGGACACAATATGCAGAAGAGTTACAGCCATTAGACAACAGGGAAAGCAGTTTGTTTAGTCTCTTGACGTATTGGTAACCAAATACTTGGTGGGGTGGAACAGGACAGGATAGGATTGGTACAGAGGATTCATACCAAACTATACAAGAGAGAGGGGTTCTGCTTGCAACTAACAACGTCACAATGTGAAAATCTGTGCTCAGTTCTGTTGTCAGTGTCTGCCTGCTCTGTGCATTGAATCTGAGCTCATTAGGGCAATGACTGCCTGCATTTCTGCTTATATAATATTCAGCGTTATCCTAATATAACTTAGATTCTGAGATGCAACTGCAACAGAGGAAACAAATCAATGTCTAGCTAAATATTCAGTGTAGAAGAACAACACCCTTACTGTTAAAATTGGGCTTTCATACTGAGGTACAATGAAAACCTGTTCCAAATTAAACCAGAGGCCATTACCTCTTTGCTACTGGGAAGACAGACATTTTTTTAAGAGAAGGGCAATGGAATAAAATGTAGACGGATGCAATGTCCTCATCTAATTCACAGTGTACCTTTTAAATGCCATATACAAATATCATAATATATCACTCCACAGATTTATGTTTCAGTTATCCTGAAGCTGTTTAAAAAATATGGTAGAGAAGTCACAAAGTATGTTTCAACAGACCTGGGACTTCTGTCTAGAAATAAAGAACTTTAAACCAAATTCTGTTAGAAATCTTACTCTGAAAGCATGGTGTATTACAGAAGTTGGGCATGTACAACAAAAAAACCCAAAACTTTAATTTTGCCTCTCTAGTGATACATGCTTAATCTGAAAAAAATCTCTCTATTTGTCTGTAAATTTTCTTAGCACTTACACATTTTCCATTTGTTGAACACAGTAATGAATACCATTCACCTGTATAAATACAGTAAGAACACCCTGATTCTCGTGAGAGCAATTTCATAAATCAAATACTTCTGCAGGCCTAGTAAAGATTGTGCTACCCATAATACAGGAGACAGCCTGTAATACTTAAAATATGTAGAGGGATTTAAAATTTGACAGTTCATATATTCATGTGTTCAGTGTCCCTAAATGATCTGCAGCACAATTAGCATTTAAAGCAGTGTCTGTTCTTTCCCAGATCATGATTGATCATGCAGTACTGTTTGAATTTGTGAGAAGGTTCTGAGAGATTGGCAGAAAATAATGAGGAGTTGACTTTGCTGCACAAGGAGAAACTGAATGATGAAGGACTAAGATTTTAACCAAGCCCTTTTATCTGAAACATCAGAAAAAAAGAATACCAAGATTGACTGGTTAAATAAATAACATTTGAAGAAATGTGCTCTTACCTCAAGATTGCTCAAGTGTGAAAATTCTGATTTCAAGCATGGATGGGTGAAGATCTAATGTTTCAGAATTAGAATAATCTGAATGAAAACAGAGTGTTCCAAAAACCTCTGGGTATCATAGAATCATTTAATTTGGAAAGGACCTTAAGAACATCAAGTCCAATCATTAATCCAGCATTTCCAAGTCCACCACTAAACCATGTCCCTAAGTGCCCCTTCTACATATCTTTTAAATACCTCCAAGGATGGTAACTCGACCACTTCCTTGGGCAGCCTGTTCCAATGCTTGCCAGAAATAAAAGATGACGATTATATAAGTACCTCTCATGTTATCCGCAACAGACAATATAATCATCCCTTAAAACAGCTGACTACTATCCTCGGTTTTCTCCACCAGTCTGAAAGATTTTGCCAAAAGCACAAAACCTCCTGCTATGAGCTGCTGTGTGGAAGATTCTCTCTGTCTAGGTTGATTAGCCAACTTACTTTTATTTGTAAAATAGTGTACATGCCTAAAGCTAGCAAATACTGTACAATTCAGCTTTGGGAAGCAAAGAATGTAATCCCTGCCCTGTATTAAAGTAGGAAAGGTGTCCCAATGCTTGTTAGCATGACAGCCAAGAGCTCTTACTCAGCACAATTCAAATCTTATTCATGTATACTGCGATCATATCTCCTTTGGCTCATTTATGACAAACTAGTTAAAAATTTACACCTGAACACATGCTGCCCCACACAATACATACCATATCACAGCAGAAGTTAGCAAGCCAATAAGTTTTGTAACCCAGGCCTGTGATGTGCTGCAAGCGTTTTGTGCCAGATACTCTGTCTTTCACTATGGTACTTCCAATGGATGCGGTAAGGATAGAAAACCCCAGCATAATACACAGTGCTACCCCACACTGACGAACATTCTCCATTCTAGGTTAAAAAGGAAAATGGCACAATGAAAACACAACACAAAAGGGAAAAAAACCTCAAATGCTAACATTTTCTAGGTAAACTTCTTACCAAAACAACACTAGACATTAGGACCTTTAATTGTGTTTGCAAACACGATAGAGTCACAGAATGGTTTTGCTTGGAAGGGACCTTAAAGATCATTTGTTCCATCCCCCCTGCCATGAGCAAGGACAAAATGTATGTGCACTGTCAACATCTAATTAGAGAACAGGGCACAAGATAAGTTACAAAACTATACGAGAGTTACAGAGCAGAGTATGTGTTTAAAGTCTGAATAAAACAAAGCTTTTGCTACAGAAAATTCAAATTTAAACACTTGATAATCATTTGAAGCAGTTAACCTGTTTAAAACTGTCCTGACACAGTCAGCATAAATTCAGTATTTTTCTCTACAAACTAATGCAACCATTTTTGATATAAACAGTGGACTTGACAGACAGTCCGTACTAGAAAATACTTCACTCAGTGTAACAGAATTGTGTCTGTAAAGTCACAACATCTGTTCTATGCAACATATATTCTGATTTAATTGATAGTTTCAATTGTCTGCTCATTGCTGCTGTTATACATTTTATGAGTTTGCTCACATTTTGTCCTCATCCAGCAAGGCTCCTCCATATGGTTGGCTGTAGAGTGTTATCCCTGCAAAAATAAAAATAAGTCATTAAATAGTAAATGCTATGTCAGGACCTCAGGTTCTGGAGTACACTGTTAACACCTTTTATACGTATGAATGAAAAAGCTAAATACTTAGTAATCAACAGAAAGAGGTCAAGCACCAAGCTGCAAAACCAAATACTGCCTCCTGTTGTGTGATTTCCAGAGTTTGGACCCATAAAAAACTGATTCATGATTCACAATGTTGTATATTGCTGCAGAATATACATCACAGAAGAGATCGAAGACAAAATCTAAAGCAGAATTTTTTCATATACCTAATCTTCTGGAGCAAGGTAGGCAATTTATACACTTGGTTTACATTATAAATCAGATTGTTTCAGCAATTTTTAGATTTGCAAAGAAAAATTATTTAGTTCACACACACACACACACAAAACTAAAAAGCACACCTCAGATAAAAGCTGTAAACTTTTAAATTAAAAGCATACCCAGTTTGGGAGACCAAGAAAAATACTAAGTAGGCAATGCATTCTTAGTCTTATTTTAGTAGTTGGTGCAACCAAGTACTACCATGTAGCAATCTAGCAAAATGAGCTATATATTTTTTCTTTTTTCTTTTCAAGGAACAGAAGAAAAGCTGAGGGGGGGTAGAGGAGAAAGGTGAAACAGTCAGTGTGAAGGCTGCTGTTAACCTGCTCTTGATCCTGTTTGTGACTTATTTCTGCATGTGTGTCTGACAAGTGTGCCACCTGTGCTGATTTTGGGTGGGGTGGAGTTAATTTTCTTCACAGTATCTGGTATTGGGGGTATGTTTTGGATTTTTGCTGGAAACAGTGTTGGTAACACAGGGATGTTTTGGCTATTGCTGAGCAGCACTTACAAAGAGCTAAGGCCTTTTCTGCTCCTCACCCCAACCCATCAGAGAGGGGACAGGGGGTATACAGGGAGTTGGAAGGGGACACACCCAGGATAGCTGATCCCAACTGACCAAAGGGACATTCCATATAGCATCATGCTCAGCATATAAAATGGGGGGAAAGGAGGAATAGGGGGATATTCAAAGTGATGGCATTAGCCTCAAGCCAGTGTCAGTCATGATGGAGTCCTGCTCTCCTGGGGATAGCTGAACACCTACCATCCCATGGGAAGAGATGAGTGAATTCCGTGTTTTGCTTTCCTTATGTGCATGGGTTTTGCTTTACCTATTTAATTGTCTATATCAACCCATCAGTTTTCTCACTTCTAATATTCTCTCCCCCATCCAAACTGGGGGAAAGTGAATGAGTGGCTGAGTGTGTGTGGCTTAGGTTAAGTCACAACACCAGCACTATTTGATTAGAGTGCCTAAATAAATCTATACTGTTCCAAATTAAAAAGAAACCTCCATCCTAACAGCAATTATAATCTTTCCAGTATCTTTGGTAAAGAAACAAATTGTTGGTACCCTTAGATGGACTCTGCAGGGCACCACTTAATTGAACAGACTTTGTCATATTTTGCTAGAGTCCAGCTATATAAAGACAAAAAATGTCTTCATTCTAGTAACAGGTGCAATTTGACTAAGTACACATTTATTTTTGCAGCTTTAATATTTCATTCCTCATCTTCAAACCAAAGTAATCTAAACATCATTAAATCACTGCATGGTAAAAAGCTGAACAGCAGAGGATGATGATTAACTTGCACACTAAACTAGTACAAGGTGAAGATTTTTCAAATAATAGCTAAACACTGTACACTGAAGCCCAATGGTAGTTGGAAAAACAGAAGAAGATTCAAGCCATTAAGGTTTGATTCATCACTAGTAGATACATCTGCTATTTGTAGAAGTCTTTCATGTCATTTGCCTAGGGGGGATGTTCAAAATTTTCCTTTGTTTTTCTTTTACACCATTAATTTTTTAAGGAATTGCTGCTATTTGTTCTGAAGTAAAATTGGCATATCAAAGAAAATTATTTTTCCCACTGAAACCAAGTATTAGCTGAAATTCCATTTATGTAGAGGAAAAGTAGCATGATAGAAAAAATCTTAGTTCCCAGAAAGTTTTTCTAAGCTTTTCTAATGGTTGAATAAAAATGTGCACATTAGAAGAAATAATCATAGAATCATATCAGGATCATAGAGTCCAACTCGTCTCCCTGTGCAGGACAGCCCAAGACTTACACCATGTTCCTGAGAGCATTGTTCAAATGCTTCTTGAACCCTGTCAGGCTTGGTGCTGTGACCACTTCCCTGAGGAGCCTGTTCCAGTGTCCAACCACCCTTTTGGTGAAAAACCATTTCCTAATACCTCACCTAGATGTCCCCTGACTCAGTTTCAGACCATTTCAAGTTCTGTCACTGGTTGCCTCCTCTTCCCCTCACAAGGAAGTTGTAGACTGTGATGAGGTCTCCCCTCAGTCTCCTCTCCTCCAGGCTGAAGAGACCAAGTGACCTCAGCCGCTCTTCATACGGCTTCCTCTCCAGGCCCTTCACTATCTTTGTTGCCCTCCTTTGGACACTCTCTAATAGCTTAATATCTTTCTTGTATCATGGTGCCCAAAACTGCACACAATATTCAAGCTGAGGCCGCACCAGTGCAGAGCAGAGCGAAACAATCCCCTCCCTCGACCAGCTGGTGATGCTTTGCCTGATGCCCCCCAGGACACAGTTGGCCCTCCTGGCTGCCAGGGCACTGCTGACTCATATTCACCTTGCCATCAAACAGGACTTCCAGCTCCCTTTCCACAGCACTGCTCTCCAGCCTCTCATTCCTCAGACTGTACACACAACCAGGATTACCCTCTCCCAGGTGCAGAATCCTGCACTTGCCCTTGTTAAACTTCATATTGTTGGTGACTGCCCAGCTCTCTAATTTGTTGAGGCCTCTCTGCCCTCAAAGGAGTCGACAGCTCTTCCCAATTTAGTGTCATCGGCAAACTTACTTAGCGTTCTTGACTTTACAATGTCAGAAAGCTTTTGGAAAATGATCGTTTCAGAAGCACTAAAATAAGAAGTTAACAAGATGAAACATACTTATTTTACTTAGTACTGCTCAGCTAAATTGGCAAATAGCAAAATCATGTCTTCCAGGCCTTCTCTTTCATGAGAAGCCAAAAAACTAGAGCCATAAAACTTGGCTATGAGCCAAGTTCTGGTTACAGAGGATCTTCTCACATTTGTCAAGGTCTTGCCTTTGTAATCAAGAATTTGAATGTTCTGACCAAGCTGTCTTACTCCAAGATTCAGATGCCAGAAATATTACAGCAAAATCGCTTAAGGGGTAGCATTTTTAGAAATTACAAATCTTAAAATGATGCTCATGATCAGGAATTGCCAAGCCTGGGAGACCTATAGGCCCTACTGATTCACATCACTTTTCCCAAAATTATGGGACAGGTAAACTTCTCACAGGGACTGTGGTAGAAAATTATTGCCCATAAAGTGTCCAGAACTTGGGGAGTTAACACAAATTCAGGAAGGTTCTTCACTATATTCCATTAACTAATCAGAGCTCATCTGAATCATATCCAATTGCTCTATTGCTATTAACTATCTGCTGTATTCAGTGGGAAGAAAATGCACTAGGAGAAACAGAGCCATGAATAGCCTGTGCTATTTTCTGTGCAAGTGAATTCATGCTCATAAACTGAAGCTTGCCCACTTGTATGTTTAGGGAACCTAGTCAATGAATTTAATAGAAGAAGATCATCTGCACTACTGAAACTTTTCTAGAAGACCCACAGGGAATTAATGAAACATACAATACATAACAATGACAAAAATACATAAAATATTTTACAAGGAATAATTTCTGCCCAGGAATATTTAATGTCCCTGAAAGTAATCTCTCTCCCGAAATCACCACGGTCTGTCCCTGTGAAGGGCGCAGATCTCAAGAGGAAAGTAACAAAACTTTCAGATTGTTGCGTTGGTATTAAACAAAAGACCATACACAGAAATGCACTGCTATAACTCTCTAGTACAGAATAAACAGAGACTCTCAAAAAGAGATAATTGCAGAGGGAAATAAACCCCCATGACATTAAATAGTATAACCTTTGCTGCAGTACTGCATCGTACAATACCTATCAAAAGGCATATTGAACTGAATGGAGGAGTCACAAAAACTAATCACATGTCTTAAAAGTAGCAACCATTTTCTACAGTTAATTTCCACTCAAACTATGTAGTAGAAACAAAGGACTGCCTTTTTTTTTAAATTTACACACACAACGGAAATTAAATTTCCAGGGTTGCTGAATTACAAGTAACCAAAGTATGACTATGCTAAACTAATTTCAGTTGTATTTAGAATTCAAAATTCTATCAATGCATTACATATAATACTTGCCTTTCATTCATTATTTTAAACTGTATCAATTAGTCTGGAGCATGAGGGTTTCTGAATTTGCTACTTTTTAGTACAATGATTTCTTCCCTACACCCCCTTGTTAAAAAATAGATGGTTAAATAAAAGCAATAAACTGGTTTGTAATTCACAGAAGAAAAAAGTTCCCTTGAACTTAAGAAGTAGGAACTACCTTCCTACTTCTAATGAACTACCTTCCAATAGCAGAATAAACCAACACAATTAATAATATATGGTATTTCCTAGTATGTGTATTTTTTAATTAAAAAACACCCTTCCATGTACTTTTATAACCTATCCTTTCCTAAATTTCTTCTACCCACCTAGACCATCTTTCTTTACATATGTCTCTGTCCCAATACAGCTGTTAACATGATGTAAAATGTGCTTATTGATATTTTCTTGCCTTTATATGCCTTTTTACTATGTAAAGCTGCTATAATTAGACTCATTAAGTTGAAAACTAACCACCATCTCTGAGGACTTAAAAACCATAAATGACATATAAACCAAGAAGTTCTAAATTATAAAGCTCCTAGTAAAAATATGCTTCTGGTGTTTATGCAAAGGGGGTTTTTTAAGAATTGTACTTGCAAGCCTTGTGTGAACAGCCCTTTGGGCAAATTTTACCAGATCAGTATTCATAGGGGAAAAGCAAGACAGTCAATAA